GAGGCAGGATCATCAAGTTTGCAGACGACACCAAATTGGGAGGGATAGCCAATACTCCAGAGGACAGGAGCAGAATTCAAAACGATCTTAACAGATTAGAGAGATGGACCAAAACTAACAAAATGAAGTTCAACAGTGACAAATGCAAGATACTCCACTTTGGCAGAAAAATGAAATGCAAAGATACAGAATGGGGGACAATGCCTGGCTCGAGAGCAGTACGTGTGAAAAAGATCTTGGAGTCCTCGTGGACAACAAGTTAAACATGAGCCAACAATGTGATGTGGTGGCAAAAAAAGCCAATGGGATTTTCACCTGCATCAATAGGAGCATAGTGTCTAGATCTAGTAAGGGTTGAAGCTTTTGTACAGGGGAAGCTTACACATCTGGAATATTGTGTCCAATTCTGGGCACCACAATTCAAGAGAGATATTGACAAGCTGGAATGTGTCCAGAGGAGGGCGACTAAAATGATCAAGGGTCTGGAGAACAAGCCCTATGAGGAGCGGCTTAGGGAACTGGGCATGTTTCGCCTGAAGAAGAGAAGGCTGAGAGGAGATATGATAGCCATGTATAAATATGTGAGAGGAAGCCACAGGGAGGAGGGAGCAAGCTTGTTTTCTGCTTCCCTGGAGACTAGGACGTGGAACAATGGCTTCAAACTACAAGAGAGGAGATTCCATCTGAACATGAGGAAGAACTTCCTGACTGTGAGAGCCGTTCAGCAGTGGAACTCTCTGTGTGGTGGAGGCTCCTTCTTTGGAAGCTTTTAAACAGAGGCTGGATGGCCATCTGTCAGGGGTGATTTGAATGCAATATTCCTGCTTCTTGGCAGAATGGGGTTGGCCTGGATGGCCCATGAGGTCTCTTCCAACTCTTTGATTCTAGGATTCTATGAAAGTGATGCTGGTTGGAGGCCAGCCTAGACTTGTTCCAGTTAGTAAAGCGGATTGGGAAGACCTACGTGGAAGGGCTCCCAAATCCTAAGTAAAAGTCTGTCTTCACATAAGGAATCAGGTTCACCAGAGAGGTTGGTCTTGATCTTTTCTTCATTTGATGAGAAGTTAATCAAATACCTCTTTTTCTCTTCGCTGAAGCGATTAAATAATATTTGGGATGCGCCATGTGTTTCCCTCGACTTTTGAGAAGTCACTCTGGATGAAGGAAGAACTTCCTGACTGTGAGAGCTGTTCAGCAGTGGAACTCTCTGCCCCGGAGTGTGGTGGAGGCTCCTTCTTTGGAAGCTTTTAAACAGAGGCTGGATGGCCATCTGTCAGGGGTGATTTGAATGCAATATTCCTGCTTCTTGGCACAATGGGGTTGGACTGGATGAGCCCAGGAGGTCTCTTCCAACTCTTTGATTCTATGAAGGCTATTTTCTGTTGTAGGTGACCTTTGAGGAAGTGGCTGTGTATTTCACAGAGGAGGAATGGACCCTGTTGGATCAGAAGCAAAGATCTTTCTACGAGGAGGTCATGATGGAAAACTACGGGAATGTCTCCTCCTTGGGTGAGGAACCGGAGTCTGTTGCCCTTTCTATAGCGACAGAGGGTCCTTTCAAGCTACCAGATCATAGCACTACGACTATTATTATCTTGACATATATCCCTCCTTTCTTGTCATGGCAACACCCTGAGAGCTTTTGGGATATGTAGTTTAGTCAAGCACTGGAGTTTTCCAGTTGAGGAGTCTAAATGCTAGTCTTGGGGTTTTGTAGGCAATGCACTTCAGGGGGGGAGTGGTCCCAAAGACCCTGAATGCACCCCAAAGCACTTTTGCAATGTTTGGGGCCTCTGTCAGCCCTGGACAGCCCTCCAATTTCCAGCCTTGCTCGCCCTGGACACGGAAGCCGGAGAAACAACGGGTGTACAGTGTTCCCTCGCTACTTGTAGATTTTAAATTCACTTTTTAGGAAAACCGCGAAACGGCGAGTCCGCAGAAAGCAAACCGCGAAGTAGCGAGGGAACACTGTATTTAGCAATTCAGCAAAACCTCTACTGTTAGAGACCCTAAATTGGGTCTTCTTAGGTCCACATCACGGGAGCATGAAAGGAAGTAGACAGTCCCAAAAAAGATCAAAAACAAGGTTTATTTTAGTTTCTTCATGAAGAAGACGGACAGCCTGACAGCATACGCAGATGCTACCCTTCAAGTGACTGCCGCGTCTTCTTGGCTTTTTACCACCAATATATAACCTCAAGTAAACAAGAACATTTTTTTTGTCATGGAAAGTACTCTCTTTCCAGCCCCCTCCCTTGACCTTTTGATGGAAAGTACCTTCTTGTACCTGCAGACTCTGCGCTTAACCACAACCTTTGAACTTAACCACAATACAACTTCCGACCTCTACATGTCACATCTTGTTTCTTAAAAACATTTTCTTCCGTGTTGCTCTTTTTCTACAGAGAAAGGGTATGTTTCTCTTTTGCTGTTAATTTCATTCAAAGCCCCTTGCTTAGCATCCTTCACTACTAGGTCTTATTTTCAGGGGATGCCTTTTTTTCAGAGAAACAAGAAATTCATTGTACTGTAAACAGCCACTGCTTGATGGGATAGGAATCAGCTTTCTAGAAATAGATTAAATGATATAGAATTTGTTTCGAATAGTAAAGTTTACGTCTTTGTAAGTTCATTCTATTTTTAATTGCTTTTTTTAATAATAGATGAAATATATATTTTTCACGCAGATGCTCTCAAACCGGTTCCCACAGAACCGTACACACACATAGAAGATCCAAAGACCAGCAGCCACTCTGAACATCTCAATTCACAGCAAGCAACACACTCGGGGAAGAAAGCACATCAACGCAAGAAATGTGGGAGGACGTTTACTCGTGGCTACACTTTACAAATGCATCAAAGGACCCGCACTAGAGAGAAGCCCTATCAATGTGCAGAATGTGGAAAGTACTTCAGCGATAGCGGGTATCTACGTGTCCATCAAAGAGTCCACACAGGGGAGAAACCATATAAATGCATGGACTGTGGTAAAACATTCTCTCGTGAATACAGTTTAAAGTCCCACACAGGAACCCACACAGGGGAAAAGCCATATAAATGCCTGGAATGTGGGGTAAGCTTCAGTCGGAGTGAACATCTGCTGCTACACCATAGAACCCACACAGGGGAGAAGCCATATAAATGCCTGGAGTGTGGGAAATGCTTTGCTCAGAGTTCCTCTCTACGTTCCCATCAAAGAACCCACACAGGGGAGAAACCATATAAATGCACAGAATGTGGAAAGAGCTTCGCCCAGAATTCATCCCTGCATTCCCATCATAGGACCCACATGGGGGAGAAGTCCTATGAATGCACCGAATGTGGGAAAACCTTCCTTCAACATGCGGGTTTACGTTCGCATCGAATGACACACTCAGGAGAGAAACCCTTCCCGTGCATGGAATGTGGAAAGAGTTTCTCTCGTCGTTACAGTTTACATTTGCATCAGAGAATCCACACAGGGGAGAAGCCCTATAACTGCATGGAGTGTGGGAAAAGCTTCAGGAAAAGGGCAAATCTGCAGTTACATGAAAAAACCCATACAGAGGAGAGAGCATATAAATGCATGGAATGCGGGAAGAGCTTCAAGCAGGCCGCTGGTCTGTCTTCACATCAAAGAAGGCATACCGGAGAGAAACCTTATAAATGCCTGGAATGTGGGAAATGCTTCGCTCACAGTATCTCTCTACATACCCATCACAGAACCCACACAGGGGAGAAACCCTATAAATGCATGGAATGTGGAAAGAGTTTCCGTCAGAGAGGACATCTGCGTTTACACCAAAGAACCCACGGACAGGACAAACCTTTCCTGGAATCAAGGCACCCCACTCCCGCAGCATCCCTCTCTTCAACAGAGAGATGAAGATTATTTTGGAGAAGTGGGGGAGATTACAAGCAGCTGTAGAATAAGGACTGGTAGTGTCACAAGAAATTCAATGTGCAGATTTGACAAATATGAATTTAATATGATGTGTGGGAATAAATGGATGGATGTGTGGTTGGAGTTAATAATTTTGGAAACACCAGTATATTATTAAGGATTGCAATGACTACCTGCTTGCTGGAACTGTGATCAAGACCTGCTAATGAGAACTGATAAGAACTGTGACAATGGTTGGGTTGTTGTAGGTTTTTTCGGGCTATATGGCCATGGTCTAGAGGCATTCTCTCCTGACGTTTCGCCTGCATCTATGGCAAGCATCCTCAGAGGTAGTGAGGTCTGTTGGAACTAGGAAAAAGGGTTTATATATCTGTGGAATGACCAGGTGGGACAAAGGACTCTTGTCTGCTGGAGCTAGGTGTGAATGTTTCAACTGACCACCTTGATTAGCATACAATGGCCTGACAGTGCCTAGAGCAAATGTAATACACAACGCCCTTCCCACGGACATTAGATTAGCACCATCTCTGGTGGTATTCCTGAAAAAAGTAAAGACCTGGTTGTTTGTGCAGGCGTTCGAGTAGTTAGTGCAATGATTGGTAATGACATAGGAATGGAACAATGGATGACGGATCTGGATTGTGTTTTTAGTGATGAGACGTTAGTGAATGGTTATTATAGTAATTGTGTACTAACTGTGTATTAGATATGTTGTTAACTGTTTTTTATATTGGTGCATTGAATTTTGCTGTTTCCTATGTGCTGTGAACCGCTGTGAGTCGCCTTCGGGCTGAGAACAGCGGTATAGAAGTAAAGTAAATAAATAAATAAATAAAATAAACCATGTGGACAATTTCAACAGAAAGGAGGAAACAATGAAAATGAACAAAATCTGGCTACCAGTATTAAAAAAAACTGTAAAATTACAACAGCACAACAACAGAGAGGAAACAAACAAGGACATCTAATCACCTCTCAACAAAAGATTGCTCTAGGCTCAGAGTCAACCTAAGTCTGAAACAACTTGAAAGCACACATTGACAACTATCCTATCTCATCAGCCAAAAGCAGGCCCACACTTCCCATCGAAATACTAATAAGTTTATATTTGTTAAAATTGTTCTTCATTTTAATTACTGTATTGTTTTTAAGTGGTTTTGCACTACAAATAAGATATGTTCAGTGTGGATAGGAATTCATTCATGTTTCTTTAAAAATTATAATCCGGCCCTCCAACAGTTTGAGGGACTGACCTGGCCCTCTGTTTAAAAAGTTTGAGGATCTCTGGTCTAGAGGTATTCTCTTCTGACGTTTCGCCTGCATCTGTGGCAAGCATCCTCAGAGGTAGTGAAGTCTGTTGGAAGTAGGAAAAAGGGTTTATATATCTGTGGAATGACCAGGGTGAGACAAAGGACTCTTGTCTGCTGGAGCTAGGTGTGAATGTTTCAACTGACCACCTTCATTAGCATATAATAGCCTGACATTGCCTAGAGCAAACTTTTGTTGAGAGGTGATCAGATGTCCGTGTTTGTTTCCTCTCTGTTGTTGTGCTGTTGTAATTTTAGAGGTTTTTTTTAATACTGGTAGCCAGATTTTGTTCATTTTCATGGTTTCTTCCTTTCTGTTGAAATTGTCCACATGCTTGTGGATTTCAATGGCTTCTCTGTGTAGTCTGACATGGTGGTTGTTGGTGTGGTCCAGCATTTCTATGTTCTCAAATAATATGCTGTGTCTAGGCTGGTTCATCAGGTGCTCTGCTATGGCTGATATAAAGACTATCCCACCGCTACAAACCAAATTATAAAGGCACGTCGTGTGGCCAAACAATATCTGGACAGGGGGTAAAGCAGATCCCACCAACTGTCCCTCCAAATTAAAAAGCCTCACTGGCACCTATATAACATTTGAGGGGATGACTCTCTTTAATTAACTTCCGCTGCCACCATAAACTGAAATGTACAGGAACTCTCTAGCTGTTTAAAATCTTAAAAAGGGCTTTTAGGACCACCAAGCACTGTATCTTCTTATTTTCTTCTTCAAAGGGAAACCGGTGAGGCTGTTTAGAAAGAACTATAGCCACAAAGGCACACTGGACTCAGGCTTTTTAAGTTTAAAAATAAACAAGGAAAGTTTATTGATAGAAATACAGAGGAAGTGAATGCTGTTTAATAAGCTTGGCTGTTACAGAGAAAATGTTCTTGTCTTTAAAGCGTAATGGTTACAAGTAAATGGTTCTTTCTTTGTTACAACACAGAGATTTTCTTCTCTTTAAAACCAAGTATACTTGACAGGATCTGAATCTCTGTCAAGATACAACTGCAGCTTAGCTACCCTCAACTGTGGCCTAGCTAACTACAAAACCCAGCTATTTCTTCCCTAAATAGCTGTACCCAGTTTGCTACAGCTTACTTCGCTGGCAAACTTAAGGCAAACTGCCTACTCTTAACACGAACTCCTAAAAACTTCTGTAATCCTGCTCTAAACTCTAACACCAACAGACTGACAGTAAAAGCCCTCTTCTTTCCCTCCAAACAGTCTAAACTCCGCCCCCCTTTAATAAACCAATCCTGGCTGTTCTAAGGCTGGCTCAGGCCTAGGCCACTCCCCCTCTCTGAAATGGTTTTTTTCCCTAAACCAAAATGGCTACTGCTGCCCTCTGCCAGGCCTTTCCAAAGCTGCAACTAACTGGCCTGCTTCTCCTAGGCCCTGCCATCCAGGCTGATAAGGTAAGGGATCTTTACAGCTGACTTCTCTGGTTGAA